AACAACTTACCGGGAACCTCCGACCCAATTCATCTCCTTAAAACTTCGGAGCAAGGAGACACTGGGGTCCTGACTGCCGGTGCTCCGGCGTCTTCGTTTTGTGCTGAGCGACAAGTCCCGTGGCCTCAGATGCTCCTTCCCGCCTCCGGGCAGTACGGCTCAGCCTCCCGACAGCCTTTGCGGCCTGGGGCAGGCCGCTTCCAGGCCTCCGGGCAGCCTCTGTTGTTTCTGCAGGGAACCTATCCTGACAGAGCCGGAAGCGAAGCTGTGGGAAGACAACTAACCCACGTCAAGGAGGAAGAACACAACAGTTTTAACCGCTCAAACAAGGGAAACCCAAGTAAATGAAATACCGGACTGTGGCCACAGGGTTAGTGTTTCAAACCACCTACACTGTAATTTTATTTAGTTCTCTATTGGTCTCAGCCTTTCTTCAGGTCAAAGACCAGCCTTGCTGAAGAAAAAGAAAGCGAGGACAAAGTTATAGATCCATAACCCTAAAAATAGTTCCATTCCCACTTACCGATTCTCCTAATCCTTTAGAGTCTTTCATTTTTAGTTTTAATATTCAGTAAACAGTTGTCTATTAGAAACATTGCATTATAGTCATTGACACTCTGTATATTTTGTGATTTTTTGAGAATGCCACATCAAAACTTGATTTAGCTATAAAAGCCCAAAGACTTTAAACTCTTCACTGGAAAAAACTCAAAACAAAATTGAGTTTTACTGTTCATTTCAGTGTTATATTTGAATATCCTTACAAAAATGTATCTTACAAACTGTTCTAGTATATTTTGATTAGAAACTAGAAATCTCTTGTTCCAAACAAATGCACAAACTACTTTCTTTCCCTCAAATGTCCCGGTCGTTTTTCACCTATTAACCTGGAGAATATCTCATAATTTGAAATATAATACATTTTCTGTTAAGTCATTAGGAAATAGTACCTAAAACAGGATTATATCCCAGGGCAGGCATCTTGTATAATCATGGTCTAAGTTGCTACAGTTATGTCCGACTCTGTGCTACCCCATGGATTGTAGCTTGCCATGTCACCTGTTCATGGGATTCTCCAGGCAAGAACACTGGAGTGGATTGCCATTCCCTTCTCCATATATAATCATGTAAGTACTGATTTTTATAACAAAGATTCAGTGAAGTATGTCTATCATTGGTTTGAATTAGACTAGATATTAAGTATTATTTGTAACAACTGAAATGTTGACCTAAGATTTCATTGTCAATGTTATTATGGCTCACATGAAAAAGGCTAGCACAACTGATAGATAATGAGTAAAATATTGAGTTATTTTGGGCCAGAGGGTAATTAAGTAATCTCCTGGGTCAGCAAACAGTTCAAGAAAGAAATACAGCACTGCTAAAATATTATTTAGCATTTGTTGAAAAAAATCCATCCAAAATCCTTAAGACTTAATTTATCATATTACTAAAAATTTACTTTCTGGAGACTTACTGTCTAAAAACACAAACATACATTATCTGCATGATATATTTTTATTTATATACTAGTATATGTATATCAGTTTATTATAAAAATTATTTCTGAAATTTTATAGTTTATAAATCATATACTTTTTCTAATATATGTATATATTCTGTATCATTTATAAAGTGTATTTAATTCTGCTCTTCAATGAACATTGGTAGTGTCCACTTTGACATGGACATTGAGAGTATCACACTTAAGAACAATTTAATAATTATTGCTTATTTTTAATTTTACTTACTTTCAATATCTTTTTCTAAGATTATTTCTCCAATCTTAAGAAAATTTTACTTTCCACATAAAAACATGTAAACTCGACAAGCTATGTTTACTATAGTAAGCAGTGATTTTTTTTTTCACCTCCCTTTTCTCTAGTTTCAAACACAAACTAAATTAACATTATTGTTGCTTTAATTGCATTATGAAAGAAGGACTTTGACATTCTTAGTTTCTTTTTTAAATGGCATATGTTTCCAACTGGAATTACCTATCTGGTTTTCTACCATCTCTGCCTTTCCTGAAGGCCTGAGTCTAATCTCAGGCGCTCAAATCAATCCTAGCCTTTGGGAGCAGAGTGGGGTTATAGGGGGGTTGTGGAATTTCAGTGATGATAGTTAGGTCTGTACTTTAGTGGTTTTACAACAGGTTAAATCTTATATTGACCTTTTCCCAGTTCTAGTAACTGAACTTCAACTTTCCTTGTACCACAGTTCTGGTAACCAAATTTCTATCTTGATTATTTTCTTTATACCCATTTCCTCATTCTAATAAGTCTCTCACTCTAGGCTTTAAAAGCTTTTCCTGTACCTGAGTTTCACTTTCAGCTGGTAAACTGACCTGCTTACGTATTTAGGTCTCTAAGTTTCTTAGCTTGTAGATTTCCCACTGCCCTGCTTCTTCCCTGATCTTGCCCTACGCCAGTGATGCAAGCCACTTCCCTTGACTGCCAACTGCATTCTGATCCATGCGTCCCTCTGTGTATCATGTTTTGCCAACTGAACATCCTCCTATCACCCCAAGTTCAGTTTATCCTGACCCTCCACATGTCCTGTCACAGTCAGGAGGTGTGACATAAATAATTCAATTTTATAAATGTAAGGCAGCCTCATTTTAACACTGGAAAAGCATGGGATTAGAAACAAAAATTTTTTTGAAAATAAAAATGGCACTATGATCTCTATGTACAGACAGAAAGTCTTAATGGAATGATAGATTATGCTGCTAATATCACCAACTATCAGAGCCTTGCATGAATTTGCCACTTATGTATTAGTAAATCTGCTGAATTGAATGCAAACAAATGAAGAGACCTATGATAATTCTTGGAAGTCATATAAGTATTTGGAAAAGGAGGAATGTTGAAAGTTAAAAATATGGTTACTTATAAAAGTGACGATAGTTCTTTAGTCACAGTCAACTGAATAGTGAAGATCATTCGACAATGAGAAAGGTTTAATATTCTAGCACAGGGACTGACAAACTTCCTTAGTGGACCAGGTAATGATTATTTTGAGCTCTATTTCATCTACCTAATTCTGTCCCTGAGCTCTATTTCATCTACCTAATTGTCTGTCTCTATTGTCACAGAAAATATGTAAATATATGGGTATGGCTATGTTCCAATAAATCTTTATTTATGGACACAAAAGTTTCATATAATTTTCACGTCACAAAATACTATTCTTCTTTTGATGTATTTTCAGCCAGAGTTTACATTAAAAACTATTCCCAGGTGGCGCTAGTGGTAAAGAACCTGTCTGCCAGTGCAGGAGATGCGGGTTCAATCCCTGGGTTGGGAATATCCCCTGGAGGAGAGCACGGCAACCCACTCCAGTATGCTTGCTTGGAGAATCCCAAGGACAGAGGAGCCTGGCCGGATGCAGTCCATAGGGTCACACAGAGCTGGACATAACTGAAGCTACTAAACACCCATTCTTAGCTCATAGGCTACATAAAAATTGGTGGGACAAATGTGGCCCACTGGTTGGGTTGTAATTTGCCAATCTCTATTCTCATTAAGTGGACATCTACCCAGGATTCCTGCTGACTAGAAATGTGTGTGTATGTTGTGCGTGAGGAAGGGAGGCCAATGAGGGGCAGAGAAGCAAATATGTTTTTGCATGTTTGAGAATAACTCATCTTTGCCTAAAAAACATGTCTGTTACATTTTTTAAAATATGCACAATTTTGCTTGTTTACAGTTTAGTACTCCATTAGAGATGCTGAGAATATTTTTGAACACTTGATTTTTATCAAATAATCAAAATGGAGATGGGAAGTAGATTACCTCTAAACCTAAACAAAACAAACAAAACATAAGCTTACAAAAGACAAGGAACTCTTGCAAAATGAAGTAAGATGGTGGAGAAGCTATTTCTATCATCTAATTCCCCTTCGACTCCCAAACGGTTAACTTTTGAATATAAAGGCACATACCTCCAAGTACCAACTCTCTAAAGGACACAGGGGTGGTAGAAGTGAAACACTGCTCATTTATTTAATAGTCACTTTGTAAATAATCACCAGTGTATCAGATCTCCATTGGTAAGAATAGTAGTTAAGGGACTTGAAGATTTTTATTATAAGGACAAGTAAACTTTGAAATGAAGTCATAGCAAAGAACTATTTTTTATTATACTGAAGACTTATCTCCCATTTATGTACAAAACAATAGCCTTATACAACTTGTTTGATAGGTTCTGGGATTTCATGTGAAATCACAGACACTAAAATTTAAAAAAAAAGCGGGGGGGGGGGGGCGCGGGGAGAGTGCTGAAAAACAGATCCGAATATTTGACACTTTGTTTTTTCCCAGTGCCTCTCCCATATTCTACTTTCTTTTCCCTTTCAGATTCATTCCATACCCTTTATCTGTTGATCCTCTCCTCTGTCATCTCCCCGGTTCCTTCTCCGTCACTGGAAATCTCCCTTTTTAGCTCTTGGAAATCTCCCTTTCTTTTTTGCTCTTCCTCTGTGGTATCTAATAAAACCTTAGAGAAGTGATGTATTTTCTGAAACTTCTGTGGGTTTCTAAGTGACGCTGAGCATGCTCAGTCGCCTAGGCAGGTTTTGTCGCCAGCAGCTGCCCTGATTCGACCTCTCCAAAAATAGACATTTAACTCTCTGAACTGTTTAAGGATGTAATTCGTTTTGCTCTCTCTTTATTTTCAAGGTTCAAAGGAAAGCAGCGAGGATTCCAAGGGTCCCTTCGTCCTTACAGCCAATGAGGGACCTGAGAGGGAGGAGCTTGGGGCTGCTCCGTGCAGCTTGAGCTTCTGAGGGAATCATCCCCAGTAGATGCGGTGGAGCCTGAGCTCTGAAGCATCTGTCACAGAACAAAATTTTTAAAAATAAAAATAAAAACAGAAGAGGAGAAACGCGGCGAACTATGGAACGCTGTAAAACTTTCTGAAACATTTGCTGGGGATTCCTGTGGAGCATGATATTTTAAAACCAATTCTTTCTGAAGCCGGTTTGGGTAACTGGGAAAATGATACATATGCTAAATGCAGCAGCTGACCGAGTGAAATGGACCAGATCAAGGGCTGCTAAAAGGGCTGCCTGTGTGGTAGCTGCAGCATATGCTCTGAAAACCCTCTATCCCATCATTGGCAAGCGTTTAAAGCAATCTGGCCACAGGAAGAAAAAAGGCGCTTACCCGGCTGCGGAGAACAGAGAAATACTGCATTGCACCGAGGCCACTTGTAAAAAACCTTCACCTGGAGTGAATGCAGATTTTTTCAAACAGCTACTAGAACTTCGGAAAATTCTCTTTCCAAAACTTGTGACCACTGAAACAGGATGGCTCTGCCTCCACTCGGTAGCACTAATTTCAAGAACCTTTCTGTCTATTTATGTAGCAGGTTTGGATGGAAAAATTGTGAAAAGCATTGTGGAAAAGAAGCCTCGGACTTTCATCATCAAGTTAATCAAGTGGCTTATGATTGCCATCCCTGCCACCTTTGTCAACAGTGCAATAAGGTACTTGGAGGGCAAATTGGCCTTGGCCTTCAGAACTCGCCTAGTAGACCATGCCTATGAGACCTATTTTGCAAATCAGACTTATTATAAGGTGATCAATATGGATGGGAGGCTGGCAAACCCTGACCAGTCTCTTACTGAGGATATTATGATGTTTGCACAGTCGGTGGCTCACTTGTACTCCAATCTGACCAAACCTATTTTAGATGTAATCCTGACCTCCTATACACTTATCCAGACTGCTACATCCAGAGGAGCAAGCCCAATTGGGCCTACTGTTTTAGCAGGGCTTGTGGTATATGCCACTGCTAAAGTGTTAAAAGCCTGCTCTCCCAAATTTGGTAAATTGGTAGCTGAAGAAGCTCATAGAAAAGGCTATTTGCGGTACGTGCACTCCAGAATCATAGCCAATGTTGAAGAAATTGCCTTTTACAGAGGACATAAGGTAAGAAAGAAATTCATATGATGGGTGAAATGTGAGATTGTTCAAACTGCCACTGCAGTACTGGATACCATCTGTTGTATTGTTTTTGTGTTCATTTCTTTAGCATTTTGTATTCTTATGACATTTAAACCTGTATTAAAATACATGCTTCATTACCCCTTTTAATCATAAACTGTTAAAGAATTATATGCTAAGTGCAAACTTTTCTAAAGTTTCATGAGAATAACATTTTCACCACTCTAAAAAGTCTATTTAGCCTCAGTTATCCAAACATGCTCAGAATTATCTCCAAAGAATTTTCTTAAAACTAAGATCCTAACTAAGTAGATGGTCCTAGAACACTGAAGAAAAATATATGTTTAGAAGCTAAGTAAATATGCTTCCACTGAGATGGAAAATTTACAGTGGTATTGTTTGTTTGTTTATTTTTCAAGAGAAAAAAAGTGCTTTCATATGAGAAGACAAGTGTGACAATTTTGCATGACTGGTCAGTGATGGAGTTCCTTAGTTCTAAGAAGTATAGGAGAGTGACTTACAAATGGCATTTTCATTGTTCATCATATTTTGAGACAAATAAAAAAAGATAGTGAAATGAAATTTTGCCTGGCTTTGAAGGAAAAGTAAATATTAGAGACGGAGAAGGAAAAGGGAGCTTCAGAATATTTTTATATATTAAAGATTTTCAACATTTAGTAGGTCCCTAGAATAGTTAACCTAATTACATAAACTTGCAGTTCATTTAAGAATATTAAATATGACAGGAATCTTTAAGGTAATGCATCTGAAATCTTAATACAAATGACTTGGCAGATGAAACAGTAAATTATTCTAAAGTTGAAATGGCATGATTATGAAGCAGAATTAATTTTCAAAACCATCGATTATTTTAAAAAATTTTATAGTAGTACCATTCTGAAGAAGCAAATTTAAAGCAGATTTAGGACTTATATTCCCACTTGAAAACTGGCCTCATACATTGTATAAATCATATTTATTTAGAATCATTGAACTCAGTGATATAAATTATAGCATGCTGGAGGTTTCTTGCATTTAGACAAAACATAGTAAATTGAGTGCTCAAAAGTGGAGTTAATTACAAGTATACATGTCATGTGTTTATTTTCACTTATTTTTGGTGTGATCAAGGACAAGGTTCTAACTGTTTATTCATGTTTTATGGATTATCATTTAGTGTTAACATCTTATACAGATAAGTTTGAAACCATAAGTATAAATCACTTATCTGTATTTATATTTAACATTATATATACTAAATATCAGATATTTAAAAAATAATTTAGATGTGATTACAACTGAAATAATGGCTAATTCTGACATAATCTGTATTTATTGGTGGTTAGAATCACAGATAAGAGTATACTAAGAAAGAGAAACCATGAAATTATCTTTAAAGGAAGTCCTCAAACATACATTATTTATTTTTATAGTTCATACTAGGTTAATTCTTATCTCTTTTTCTCTCCATAGGTAGAAATGAACCAACTCCAGAAAAGTTACAAAGCTTTAGCAAATCAGATGAACCTCATTTTATCCAAACGTTTGTGGTACATCATGATAGAGCAGTTCTTGATGAAGTATGTTTGGAGCAGCAGTGGACTAATTATGGTGGCTGTACCTATTATCACTGCAACTGGCTTTGCAGATGGTGGTAATGACATTTACACTTAATATTAAATATATGCTTCAGATTAATTCTTTTTAAAGTGTCACTGCTGGAGTTGTGTGAGTAAATTGTGTAGCCATCATTCTATAGTCCTTAATGGTCAGAAACAATGGGAAACTTTGAAACATCCAATAATAAGACCAACTGTTTAAAAGAAGTGACTCAAAAGATCTTTCCAGCTCTGCAATATTTCAGAAACCTCTGATGTAGTGTTTTGGGGGGTTAATCTCAAGCAATTTCAGTTATACTGCCTAATAAAGAATGATTCTCTAGTTTACATTTAAACTCAACACAAATTAATACCTTCAAAAAGAGTATAATAGTTCTCACCAAGTATTGTAAATTTCAGTTCTGCACATAACATGCTTTTAGTCTATAAATATTCTATAACTGGATCTGCCCTGATTGTAATTTGAAGAGTTGGTTGACTGCCTTAAACAATCAATAATACTGTTTCAGGGAGTGCTTCATTCCGTGGAACAGGGTTCTTCTACTTGTAGGTAGTATATTAGGTAACTTCCTCTTTGGTGGTATTGAGGGGATAAGGGTTGTAAAGTTGCACGTGTCTAATTCTATCTTATCACTGTTTCAGTGGGGTTTTTCTTTTTCTTTTGAACATTTTTCATCCTTTGGGACCACCAAGAAATGTAAGGACAAGGAGGACAATATTAAAATGTTATGTAATATTTGAGATGGGAGTTTGGGTCTTAATTGGCAGGACAGATGTTATGAATTAAAAAGGAATTTTCCTCTGTCTCTCCAAAGTAAAACATTCACCTTCCTCTTTAAAAACCATTTGACCAAACTTGGTGTTAGTATTGAAGCAGCTAGACAAAAACATTGACTTTGTGGTGAGACAGAGCTTTGCTCAATTCTGCCTTTCCTCTTTTTGCCTGTGTCCTATTAGTCAAGTTACTTAAACTCTCTAAATCTCAGTTTCCTCATCTGTAAAATGAGTATCAGAAAAACTACTTCAGAGTACTGTTGTGAGGATTTAAGACAATAATGTATCAAGAACATCAATGTTCTTAATACATGGTGATAATTATTGCCTAGAAAACAAATGGCAACACTAAGAAAAGTGTAACAGAATTCACACTATTTACAGTTATTTTTGGTGTAGAATTAAGTATTAATAGTTGTTTGTTTGAAGTCATCCAATAAAAACAAAAAAAATTACCATGTGCTTTAACATTTAAAACAGTGCTTTAATGCTTTACCAATTCTTACAAAAACACTTGTTAAATTTGAGTCATTCTCAACTAAACTTACTCATTTTGGTAAAGTAGAATTTGTCAGTCCCTTGTGTTAAGTGATACATATACCAAGTGTACTCTATAGCTCAGCTGTCTAATAGACAATATATTTAGACCATGAGGAAAACTGAATTTTACCTGTTCGTTTAATGCTTTCAAAATTTGTTTTAATCATTTTAAAAAGTTTATATTGAAAAAGGCATTGTTAGCATTTTAATCTTTTCATAATGAAATAAAATAAATTGCTTTTTCAAAAGAGTATTAGAGAAAAAAAGACACAAAACTGTATGGTCTTAACATTAGTTCTACTAAGAAATTTAGCAAAATTGTCAAATATTTATAGTGAATATGTACAAGTTTATGGACATTTTAAAGGTTTTGTGTATAATATATATTAGAAACTACCCCAATAACAAAATTATGGTGTTGTTCTGTTAGTCTTTGGAAGAACTGATCTTATTAGAAAACCTTGGAGTATTCAACATAGAGCAGAGAAAATGTAGCTATTAATGGTGACAAATTAACACCACAGAGACCAGTAAGAAGTAAACAATGTATGCAAAAAATCTAACAGTCTTACTTCTGTAGGTGATGTAATAAGATATTTACAAATAAATACTATGAATCTAGAAAATATCAAGGTAACTTAGAAAACAGCATTAAAATTTTAGATTGAAATTGTGAAAATAGTCCCATTGATGCAAGTGAGATAAAATAATTCTTAAAACTTCTTTTCAAAAGAAAGCTTTATGAAAAGAAAAGCAATATAATAATTTCATAGAAGAATAAAATGAATTCATATGATGATATTATTATGAAAGTATGCTTCAGTATCTGTAATTTCTAAGATTACTATATATATCCTTGTAATATTTGCGTGTATATATTTACTAAATATATTTGACTTATAATGATATAATACATGAAAATATTAAGTTATCATTTACTCAGACAAAATAATTTTTTTAGATAATGACATTATTTTTGAGACTTTGGGTTTTGGAATGAAATACTATCTATTCTAATCTAGTCTTCAATCTTAATTTATGCTTAGGCCCTGAGTTGTCTTTTACATTAGAGATAAATGAAGTGCATTATACTATATATTTTAATGCTAAATATATGGGGAAAATGGTTGAATAAAAGAACAATAGCAAAGAGAAAAAGGAGAAAAAGTAGAATAGGGGAAAGAAAGAATAAAGGAAGAAACAGGCTTCTGTTCAAATCTTGATTGCTATTTTATTCATCCTTGAGAAAGTTACGGAAACTTTATATGCCTAAATTTTCCTTTCTTAACTGTAGGAATAATAATGTATTTTAAAAACTGTTAAGATATTATATATAATATATTTAATGTGCCTTGACACAATCCATGGCAAATAGTTAAGAATTTAGGTGGAAGCAATGGTTAATGTTTATTATATTCTTACTCTGTAGGCTCTGGTATCCGATTGCCTGGGTTCAAATCTGGCTTTTTCATTTATTAGGTTGTAACATAGGACAACTCATTTAACCTTTTTGTGCTTCAGTTTCCCCATTCTAAACTGGGGGAAATTATAGCAGAGTTGTTATGAAGATTAAAGAAGATCACATGTGTAAAATTTAGAACAGTGCCTGCATCATAGGAATTGTTCAATAGATGTTTGCTAGTCTAATTATTGTTGTTAAAGGGGGAAGACATTTGAAAGTGATTAAAAAGTTTGTGGTAAATATGAAGATAGGAGGAATAATCTACATAATTTTGGCGGGAGGAGAAAAGAAAAACAGTTGGGTAGTAGATTTATTATACTATATAGCTACAACTTTTAAAATCTTGTGGTAAGCACAAGATTATACTTATTAATATATTGAGGTTCACATTGCAAAATTGCATATGTTGTCATGTCATTTTCACATCAGAAGAGGTGTTTGTAAGTGATCTAGTCAGGAGCCCCAAATCTGTCTAAGGTCACACAAATGGTTAGTGAAAGCACTAAGGATAGAAGACTTTATATAATTCCTTGTGCAATGCTTTTTTCTCCTTCACTGTGCTGTCTTTATATTAGCTATATTGGAACTTACTCTATAAGGGACTTACTTGAGACCAAGTAATCGTAGTAGCAAATCATTGAAAAAGAGGGATTAATTATTAATTATATGTAATCTCTGTTATTTTTATAGAAGACAGTACTCCTTTATTTGCTTCTCATTAAGAGAAAGACTGAAATTATGTGAAGGAAATAGTCACCTGGGGGCTATAATCTCAATTGTTTTAATGTTATTGACGACTTCTATTCATATCAAGAGCAATTCTGGAAAAGGCTAGGAAAAACTACTTATAAGTCTCTCCTGCCAGACCTTATTACAGGCACCTAACAAGCAAGAAAGAGAGCAACTAAGCCACTGGTGCTGCCAATATTGGTAATCTGATAGTGTAAGATACACATAAGAAGTAGCAACTGAGAGGTACTGCTCGTAGGAATAGAACTAAATTCTCCCCATCACACTAGTAACATGGGTGATGTTTTTCTCAAAAGTGTACCTGCAACAAGATTATATCTAGGCTTCTGCTACATTAGTATGTTTCATATTCTAATGTCAAATTATTGAAATAAAATGTTATGTTGTAGGTCAATTTAGATATGATAGGTGGCAAGAATACAAAGAAGAGTTATACAAAAAAGATCTTCATGACCCAGATAACCACGATGGTGTGATCACTCACCTAGAGCCAGACATCCTCGAATGCGAAGTCAAGTGGGCCTTAGGAAGCATCACTATGAACAAAGCAAGTGGAGGTGATGAAATTCCAGCTGAGCTATTTAAATCCTGAAAGATGATGCTATGAAAGTGCTGTACTCATTATGCCAGCACATTTGGGAAACTCAGCAGTGGCCACAGGACTGGAAAAGGTCACTTTTCAATCCAATCCCAAAGAAAGACAATGCCAAAGAATGCGCAAACTACCACATAATTGCACTCATCTCATATGCTAGCAAAGTAATACTCAAAATTCTCCAAGTGAGGCTTCAATAGTATGTGAACTGAGAACTTCCAGACGTTCAAGCTGGATTTAGAAAATGCAGAGGAACCAGAGATCAAATTGCCAACATCCGTTGGATCATAGAAAAAGCAAGAGAGTTCCAGAAAAAGCATCTACTTCTTTATTGACTATGCCAAAGCCTTTGACTGTGTGGATATAAACAAGCTATGGAAAATGCTTCAAGAGATGGGAACATCAGACCTCCTTACCTGTCTCCTGAGAAATCTGTATGCAGGTCAAGAAGCAACAGTTAGGACCAGAGGTGGAACAGACTGGTTCCAAATTGGAAAAGGATTATATCAAGGCTACGTATTGTCACCCTGCTTATTTACGTTATATGCAGAGTATATCATGAGAAATGCCAGGCTAGATGAAGCACAAGCTGGAATCAAGATTGCCAGGAGAAATATCAGTAACCTCAGATATGCAGATGATATCACCTTTATGGCAGAAAGTGAAAAGAAACTGAAGAGCCTCATGATGAAAGTGAAAGAGGAGAGTGAAAAGGCTGGCTTAAAACTCAACATTCAAAGAATGAAGATCGTGACATCCAGTCCCATCAATTCATGGCAAATAGATAGGGAAACAATGGAAACAGTGACAGATTTTATTTTCTTGGGCTTCAAATTCACTGCAGATGGTGACTGCAGCCATGAAATTAAAAGATGCTTGCTCCTTGGAAGAAAAGCTATGATCAACCTAGACAGCATGTTAAAAAGGAGAGACATTACTTTGCCAACAAATGTCTGTCTAGTCAAAGGTATGGTTTTTCCAATAGTCATGTATGGATGTGAGAGTCGGACCATAAAGGAAGCTGAGCACCAAAGAACTGATGCTTTTGAACTGTGGTGTTGAAGACTCTTGAGAGTCTCTTGCACTGCAAGGAGATCCAACCAGTCAATCTTAAAGGAAATCAGTTCTGAATATTCATTGGAAGGACTGATGCTGAGGGTGAAACTCCAATACTTGGCCACCTGATATAAAGAACCAACTCATTGGAAAAGACCCTGAAGCTGGGAAAGCTTAAGGGTGGGAGGAGAAGGGGACAATAGAGGATGAGATGGTTGGATAGAATCACCAACTTGATGCACATGAGTTTGAGCAAGCTCCAAGAGTTGGTGATGGACAGGAAAGCCTGGCGTGCTGCAGCCCATGGAGTCACACAGAGTCGGACACAACTGAGTGACTGAATTGGACTGAACAGTCCTGTCAACCAGTTATCATAACAGCAATTAGCAATATATATCAGACATACTTTTAGCTGCAAGTAACTATGCATCTAAGCAGTTACAATTGTAAAGTATAATACATATGTCAACAGGACATAGTCATTAATGTACCACTCAATGACTTGTCACAAAGTTAATGCATATACATAATCACCACTCAGAAGAAATAGAAGCTTACCTTCATTCCAGAAGCCCTCATACCCTTTCCCAGTCCTATCCTCATCTTAAGCTCCCACCCCCATCCCTACTTACTCATGCCCCTGCCATGCCACATCAAAGGTAATTATCTTACTGACCATTTATTAGTAGTAGACCATTTATTTGCTGGTTTTGGAATCTTCCATAAATAACCTTATATGGTATGTATAAGCATTGTAGTTGTTCCATTCTTTGTCAATGTTTGATATCAGTCTTTTTCACTCAGGTATTTTTCATTTTAGGCATATGGTAAGTTTGTAGTGATACTTCATTATAGTCTTTTCATTTCTTTGTTGACAAATGAGATTAAGCACTTTTTTTCATTTGTTGGCCCTTTGGATGGCCATTCTTATGAAGTGCTGATAATTTTTTTGATTAAGTTTAGATTGTTTTTAAATGTTTTTTCTCACTGATTTGTAAAAGCTGTTATGTATTCTGTAGTAAGTCTTTTGTCAGACACACACACAAATGTCCAATATTTTTCCCAGTTGATTCTTCCTTTTTCAGTGTCTTAACAGCTTGTCTAAGAAGAAGTAATCATTTGAATATAACTAAATTTGTCAATTCTTTGTGGTTAATGGCTTTATACCTATTTAAGAAATATTTGTCTAACCCCAGGTCATAAGATATTGTCTGATTTTATCTCTTAGCTATTAATTGTTTTTCATTTCACATCAGTCTATTCAAAGTTGATATGTGATATGAGGTTGGAAAAGGCTGTAAGTTTTTGCTGAGATTTTTCAAGATGTCAAAGGTAAAATATAAATAAAAAGAAAGAAACTCAAATATAAATCAAAGGTTAAAAGTACAAAAGAAGAGCCTACTTTTTCAACTTTTAAAAAAATTAACAATTTTCTTAGAACAGTTTTAGGTTTGTGGGAGAATTTACCAGGAAGTACATTGTACCTACCAGAGTTTCCCCTCTTGTTTACATCTTGTGTTAGTGTTGTACATTCATTACAACTAATAAACCATTATTTATACATTGTTAACCAAAGTCCATAGTTTACATTAGGGTTCACTCTTTGCATCATACAGTTCTATAGGATTTGAGAAATTATGGCATAACCTTCATTTTAAAATCCTTTTTCATCTTTTCAGTGAAATAGCAACTGATGTGACCATGTTTCAGTATACACTTACTATTATCAGGCCTAAAAAGTACTAATAAGATGAGAATATAATGCTAACTATTAAGTCCTTAAATGCAGGACTTTTGAAAAAAATATTAAAAATATTTGGTGAGGAAAATGAAATATGTCTACCTAGCATACAAAATAGGTGAGGGCTTTAGGTTGTGAGTTTATATGTCTAAGAGACACTAAGAAATCTGACCTTGTCACAGAAGTCACATAGTTCCCTACTGTGTGTGTGATAAAATACTCCTGCACTGCTCCTAAACCACCTGCTAAAGAACAGCTAGTAGAATAAAAGTGTCAAATGAGGTCTTTCCAGAGCTATTTGTAATTTTGTTACAAATTTGCAAGTTTAAAAGCTTGGAGAAAACCCAGTAGGTATTAGTCTGCCAAAGTAGGATAGAAAGTACCATCTGAACCAAACAGCAGTCTGTCTGGTGTTAGTGTTCCCTTTTTAATAGAAACTGTCCGTGAAAGCTGTTATTCAATCCCCTTTTAACCCAAATTGATAAAATCCGGTAATTATTTTAGCCGGATTCTCTGAGTCAAAACTATTCTCAGCACTTTAACTGATATAGCAATCACTATTTTGGTAGCTTGCTGAGAATCCTTTGTTAATTTTTTGTGGCTGTCTAAATTTTGTCGCACATTTAAATGTTCTTAAGTATATGAAGATTCTGTTCCCAGTTTATCCAATCAAAAGATTCTGTTCCCAGTTTATCCAATCACATCTTTCTTTTCTTACTTATACTAACTCTTATAGCCTTTCTTTGTACAGCTAACTTCAAGGGAAATAAAAATAATTCTCAAAAGCAGTGCCCAACAGCCAAACCAGGAGGGTCCCATGAACTCATGGTTATTCTGATACTCAAAATAAAATCAGTGCTTGACACCAACCAATACTGTAGTTTGAACAAGTTATTTATTCCATTGGCATTGCTTGAAATTTCTCTTCTCTGAGATATTGCTTATGCTGTACTTGTGATCTTTTAAAATTGTATGCAGTCTTCAAGTCCTCACTCACAATCTATTTCTCCATGAAGCGTTTCCTGTCTCTTGCAGCAAGAAATTATTTTTGTCTCTTTCAAATGCATTACACTAACTCTCCTCATAGGTTGCCCTGCATTGTTATTTGGGAACTTGTCTTCTCTCCTACCAAACTGTAAGCTCCCTAAGGAAAGAGTTTGAAAAGCACATTTAATCCTTGCATGTCCTGTAGCACCTTGCCTAATTTCTTGTAAATCTTGCTGTTCAGTAAATATCTGCTGAATAAATTTTACCTTCTATTATACATGGATCCCTTTCAAACTCAGCTGAGCTGTCTATGAGCAAGTAAAGGTGGAAATATCTGGTAATTATATCTGGGCACATGTTAAATATTTGCAATGTCAGGGAGAAAAAAAGCCCTTTTTAGCTGAGATAAATCCAGGTGAAATAAATATCAAAGTGGCTATGATATGTGGCTATATTATTCTAATTTCTTCATTAATATATAGCTTTAATTTAGAATTTTGGTGATAGTCTGTAGAAAGACTGAATAGAGAATCAAATTGATGACAAGATAAAAGTAATGACCTCGAGAAGAGCAATTTTGAAGAGCAAGACTAAACTGAGTAGATATAAAATAACACTTACAGAAAATAATAATGCCTAACATTTAAGAAATGGTAACCCACTCTAGTATTCTTGCCTGGAAAATCCCATGGATTGAGGATCCTGGTAGGCTACAGTCCATGGAGTCGCAAAGAGTTGGACACGACTGAGCGACTTCACTTCACTTCAACATTTAAGAGCAATTATTATAAGCTACAGATTAGGCTAGTACAGAATACTATGTTCTAAACACTCTGGTGAGTACTAGCAAGAGTGAATGAAATACAGTTTTGCCCCTTAAATAACTTATAGTCCACTGGAAAATCCAGACAAGGATTTCCAGGGAAACCTGTATTAAAGAGTGAACTATTTAAGAAAGAGCTCAGCAAAAAGGAAAGTATATTAAAATCAGGAGAAATTATATATGCAAATACTAGAGAGTAAACAGAATTTTGCATAATTGGGTGTTGCTGAACTGTAGGGTGAAAGTTGACAGAAGTAGACAGAGGTAGATTTGATAGTCAGCTACTTTGCATTTCTTTTAAAAGAAATCACACTAGAAATACTTGCTGAGATTCCAGTTAGTGATTTTTTATTGACTGAATCAGTAGCATTATATTACCTAGCTCTAATAAGAGCAGACAGTTGAATTTGGTAAGGGTTAAAAGAATGCTAAATGAAAATTGTCTTAATACCTATAAATTTAATTCTTCTAACTATCCTTCTAGAAAAATAAGACAAAAGAAGATTTGAATAAATTCTGGTACAAATGCTATATTTGTAATAATTCATTAATTCCTAGGAAACCCTGATACTAATGAAAAGTTCACATATGATTGTTTGAGTCACAGCTTGAATCAAAACTCAGTATAAAATAAAACATTTAGTTACTTAAAAATTTCAATAGTTTTTAATTTGCTTTTAGATCTAGAGGATGGTCAGAAACAAGCTATGGTTAGTGAACGGACAGAAGCCTTTACCACTGCTCGAAATTTATTGGCTTCTGGAGCTGATGCTATTGAAAGGATTATGTCTTCATACAAAGAGGTACTTGCATTTCTTGTCAGTTTGATTTAAATAAGATGTATGAAAATCAAGCCAAAATGTAAATTACTACATATGTTTATTATTTTGGAAATATCTATTCTCTGGCAAAAACTGCTAAGAGTATAATCAAGACAAAGGACAAGTTCCAAGTGTATTATCTTTCAGTTTTTACACTCTCAATTGTCAACTCCTCTTTTTCTGTCTGTAGTATAACATATTTGTTTTTTAAAGTTTGCTAAGAGGCTTTTTGGTATGCATTCTGGAGTGAGAATTCTAAATTTAAATTCTTGCTCCAGTGTTTGCAAATTATTTGAACTCAACCATTTGTGTCTGTTTCTTCATCTGTAAAATAGGGATAATGAAGGTGATGACTTTGTAAAATTATGATAGTAAGCACTTTAATAAATGTTAGCCAATAATATTACTTATATACCTTGCAAACTTACTTATCCTTCAAGTCAACCACATGTAAGAAACCCTTTCGTGATTCCACTTTCTTTTGAAGCCTGGGTCTTCCTTCTCTGTGCTCAGTACATCTGGTGCTTTACCACATTATAATTGTTTGTTTCCTGCTTGAGACCCTGAGTGGAAAGCAGGAACAATCTTATTCATCTTTACATTCTTAGTATCTATTTTAATGTTTGGAATATTATATAGGGTCAATAAATATTTCCTGAAAGAATGGTAGTAAGATATACAGATAGACCTACAGATATCACAGGGTTAAGATTAAAAGTCACTCTTTTCAATTCAGATATTAAATAATATTCCCATGGATAGTCATTCTCACTGTTAATGACTCCTGTGGCTTTTATATCAATATAAATTGCCAAAGCATCATTATAAATTTATCTGCCTATTAAATTATCCTGGAATAATTTAGATAAGATAGTTGCAAAGTTTGTGATTTGCTGACAGAACTTTTCAGTCTCTTTCAACAATTGATTTATTGAATTTTTTTTAAAAAAGATAAAACCGATTGTTTAGGGCAATAAAGAAAAACAGTTCAAAAAATTTTTTCAAATAGTAATTTTTATAATCTGGAGACATAACATTGAGGGTAGGTTTTTTGATCTAATAAATTACTTATTAAAATTAAATGACAAGTCAGAATTTTCTACAACTCACATTCAAATACTTTGCTGAGTCACAGAGAGAATATCAATTTGTTTTTCTAGATCGTCTCCAACACAAGAAATGATTGCATTTTGTTTTATTTTGCCTGTATGTTCATTGAATCATAGAATTTTCACTTCTAAAGAATTTTATTATTGTCGTGAAAGCACATGAAAGCATCATGGTTTTCCACTAGCTCTGAAGGGAACGAGATTTCTTTTTAGAGAAACTCCCTTTTCTTATATGTTGAAGTAATTTGTCAGCAATCACAATCTCATTTTTTTTTTTAACACTCTCGGCCCATTCAACTCTTCATCCTGGTGTACTAACTCAATGCCTCCTGCCTTTTTTAACTGACCTCCAAATATGTTTAGATTTGTTTTACACAAATATATTTTCCTAGGTTTCTTTTGGATCCATATTTTGTTAATCCTTAGCCCTGTTTACCACTACTTGGGGACTCAAAAAATTCTTCTAGGAAATATTTTAGAAACTATCCTATATAATAAGTATAACATTGATATGCAGAAATGAAATACTCATCTAATTATAGATCTCTCACATGGTAGAGACAAGGGGCAGAAGGCTTTCAACAATAATACCTGTTCATTCCTTGCTTTAGGTTTGTACTCACAAAAATCTTCCACAAATATCAGTATTCTATCAGTCTACAGTTTACTGTTTAAGAGACATTTATTAGCGATATGCCTTGCTTATTGATACCAATATCCTACTAAACAATTCTATAAGGGAATGTTTTTTATTGCCTCCTTTATACTGAGAAAGATGGTCTTAACAGGACATGAATCACCTTTCACATGAGTCACCTTGATAACGAAGTGTTCTTTTATTAGAAAAGTAGCAGAGATTCAACCTAAATTGGACAAATGGCAGAATAGGAGCAAGACACCATTTTATTGAGTCTTTGAACTAAAACAAAGATTTATCTCAGAATCTCATCTAGAAAAAAAGTCATATTTAATATTTCTCTTTGGGCATATACATCACGTTTGGCTTGAAAAGAAACTGAATCTTGGGATTTGGACTGAAAAGAATTTAAAGTTTTTCACTGAGCTGCCTCAATGTTGATATCTTCTAGCAGGGGTAAACAGGAATTTTGCACCTAATTTAGGAATTTTGATAATCACTTTGACTTAGAAACATTATTTCTTAACAAGAAAAAATGCATTTTTCTTCTTAAAATCTATTTTAAATTGAAAAAACATATCAAAATGATTTCATTGAATGAATTTAAGCTTTACACAAGACTTCTAATTTCTGGAAATCAAGTATTCATGTAAATGGAGCCAGATCAAAAAATCAATTGAAAGATTTTTAAAGATTTTTAAGTCTCACTAATATTCTGAAATCTCTGCATGTCACTCTGAATCCTGACTTGAATAAACAATTGTGATGAGTTTTATAATTCCAATCAAGCTCAAACTATCAACTTGCTATGCTGCTTCTTGCTAGGCTTTTTAGTGCTACTAGTTTTAGTTATCAGATATACTTACCTATTTTTCACATAATAAAATAAGACCTTTAACATTAAGTCAAGAATACTGTTTGATTTCATATTTGTTTAAAAGTGTGTCTTGAGTATATTAACTATGTTATATCACTGCGTTGGTTTTAGATAACTGAATTAGCAGGCTATACTGCTCGAGTATACAACATGTTTTGGGTTTTTGATGAAGTAAAAAGAGGCATTTATAAGAGAACTGCTGTCTTGCAAGAGTCTGAAAACCATAGCAAGTGTGGAACTAACATAGAATTACCCCTCAGTGAGACGTTGGAAATCAAAGGTATTAAACTCAAATGTTTTTGTACATCTTCTATATTTTAAGTATTTATCAACAGAACCAAACTATTTTAGAAGATAGCTAAGGAACCAACATTTAGTTATTTAAACAGTTATTCCTAAAGTTAGTGCTGTATTTTGAGGAGGAGTGACTAAAATTATCATAAAAAATACTATGCTACTTTTATTTAGGACAAAATGTCTAGAATAATTTCCGGAAACTGTACATATATGGCAGAATGATTTTTTTTTTGCTTTTAAAATTCAAATAATATAATTAGAGTTAATGTTATATTGTTCTCCTTTATTCTATCAGTTGGTTTGGTTATTATAGTTTTAAAGATTGTGTTTTTCTATGTCTTTGTTTCCTTTCTGCAGCATTGGTTTTTTTTTCTGTAGGAAAGTTTAATTTAGAGAAATAAGTAGTTATAAACAATGTAGCTGATACCAGATAGAGTTTTATCTTTGCTCTCATTTTGATGTTAGCATCATATTATTGTAGAATAATATATTTCTGGGAAAGATAGTCCAAATAGATACACCAAAATGTGCAAGTTTACATTAGGCGTTGTTCTAGATATAGATATCTATATTTGCATTTATTTCTATGAGTTATTACTGTGAATTATCTTTATAGTAAATTTATCTGTTATGCTGCATTATACTTTAAGTTATTTAATTAGCAATAACACATGATACCTTTTGAAATGTAAACTGTTCCTTAACTTATAGGAAAAGTTATTGATGTGGAGCATGGAATTATTTGTGAAAATGTTCCCATAATTACACCAACGGGAGAAGTGGTGGTTTCCAGACTAAACTTCAAAGTAAGATGATATTCAAGAATCTTCTGATTTTTGCCAACACACTAATACAAAAGAACTCAGAATTCTTGTACCTTATATTAAATACTTGGAGGAAGCATATGGAAAGGAGGGGAAATCAAGAAAGGTAGGCATAGTGACTCAATTACAGCAGCAGTTACTTCCTCAGAAAGCAGAAAGAAAGAGAAATTTAATTTCTACTGCTTTATTTCTTGGTTGAAAATAAAAATTACAATACCCTGAGAGCCTAAACAAGGTAACTTTGGGGAGCAATAAGAAATTTCCTCAGAAATTAATATCTGGAAGTAAATTCTAATTTTATTTCCTTATAGGGATTACTCAAATAACACAAGCCTACATTGTTACATATTTACTAAAATATGAGAGAAGAGGTAATCAGCAAGTTTACATTAAATTTATAAGTTTAACATATTTTCAATAACTACATCTTCTATTAGGAAAAAATAATCAGAGGATTCACAAATTTGGATTTAGTTCTTAATTCTGTTGAGAATAATAGTTATTTATTGTTTAATACTGTCTTGATTATAAAAACTAAGGTGTAAAAATAGCTAATAAATCTGAGACCCTGATTTAAAGCATTATAAAATTCAAATATGCATTTTGGAATTCAAACGCAAAATAATTGGCTGATAAGTAGAATGAAGTTATCTGCGCTTAGTTCAAACAATGACATGATTAGACCTAATAACAGAATTAGAAGCATGACCATATATGTACATTTAATGATTTTAATGTGGACCTTAGGCTAGGTTTTATTATTTAAAGATGTATTTGCAAATTCATTAGGCTGCTGGAAGAGGATGAGAAGTACTAAACAGGGGGAAGTTTTGTGTTAATAAATGTGAGAGAAATTGTGTTTTAACTACAATTTGGTTGGGCTCTGTTTTTCAATTTATAGAGCAGCATTAAGGGGCCTCCCCATGGCTCAGTGGTAAAGAAACCTCCTGCATTGCAGGAGATGCAGGAGATGGGGGTTCAATCCCTGGGTTGGGAAGATCCCCTGGAGTAAGGCAGGGCAACCTACTCCAGTATTCTTGCCTGGAGAATCCCATGGACAAGAGGAGCCTGGTGGGCTACAGTCCGTAGGGTTGCAAAGAGTCGGACACGACTGAAGCGACTGAGTCATGGAGCAGTGATGAGTGCTAATGATACAGCATAGTCTTAAATAGGTTTAAAATAAAGCCTTTGAAGAGTCCTACATGGCATATTTAACTATTTATCAATACTTTAGCAGTTTATATTTTATGGCTTTTGCAGGGAGGTTTTCATCAGGTTAGGTTTCATAATATCAATTCTGGTTGTTCCACTTATTAAATAGAGGAAAAGTCTTGAATTCTGCCACCTACTAACTACATTATTGTGGACACATCACACTCTTTCTGTGAAAAAAATTCAGAACTCAGTATATTTTTATATAAAATTAAGTTTTAAATAATCTAGTGAAAGTGTCTTGAATTTGGAGATTGTGCAAAGGTATCTATTAGTATAGTATACTTTTATGATAATTGTTTATTTCTAAGTCAGGCGGTTTTATTTATAGTCTCAGGTCACTAAAGTATAATAGAAAATTCTGTTCCCTCTACGTGGATTAATAAATAAACAGGTTTCTAGAGGAAAATGTACTCTTACTTATGTCTGCCTTTTGGAATTGAAAAACCATTTGGAGAAGAAAATTTTGGTAAATGTAGGAATTCTTTTGCCTAACACTCACAGTCTACTAAACATCAAAAAACTTATGCTAAAAATAATATGAATGTAGAAAATATTCTATTATACTCAAAATGTGTTAAATTTCTGAGAATTCCCAGTAGAGAATGGTTCTATTAAATATTTTGCTTATATATCTTTTGTCATGGCACATACCTTTAAAAATCATTTAAAAAATATTTATGCTTCTACAAAGTTAAACTTTCTTAATCCTCTTTCTATTGAAAGAACAGTGCAAATTACAAAAGCAATTCTTTCTGGGTTCTTTCCAGGATATTTTTTAAACTTTATTCTATCAAAATAGCATTTCAGTTTGGCTACAGTTTGGGAGAAAAAATATCTGCAGTCAGATTTTATAGACTCAAGCTTGCTCCTGTCTTATGTCCTTGTGTTAGCTATCTTTATCGCCTGGAATGCTCTTCTGCCAGATCTGACTGGTTGCTTGTTGTCACCAGGCTAAGCCAAAATGTTACCTCCTCAAAGAGGACTTCCCTGCAGCACCTAATCAGAGGAAGCCCCACCCCACCCCACCAGCTTCACAATGCCACTCTCTTTCCCTAATACATCATCCTTTTTTGCTATCACAATAGCATTTATAAGTAGTTAATTTTTTGTCCTTGTGTTTATTGAAATCTTTGAAACACATGTCAATATTTGCTAGGGAAATGTCTAATTACTTAGAATATGAATTTGAACCATTTTTGCTTTACATGTTCTTATTACATACATTCTTAGTTATATTTTCTAACCTTCATATCAGACCTTTTTCTTTTCCTTCCTCCCTTCCTCTCCCCACTACCTTCTTTCAACAAAAAGATTTTAGTTTATGTTATACACAGCAAATAGGTAATAGATATATATGGAACTGGTTCCTTACACTGACATTATACAAGTAATATGATGCTCTTTTATCTTTTAGTATTAAACATGATATATTCTACATCATAGACACTTATATATTTGTATCTATACTGTATGAAGCTACATCTACAGATATACTGTAAATTTCTGCCTCTTGTATATTCATGCTATATTCATTTTTAATTTATTTTTCTTAAAACATATTTTATTGAAGTATAGTTGACTTTCAGTGTTTCAGGTGCATGGCAAAGTGATTCAGTTATACACATATATTATTTTTGAAGTTATTTTCTATTTTCGGTTATTACAAGATATTGACTATAGTTCCCTCTGAAAAGAAAGTGAGAGTCGCTCAGTCACGTCTAATTCTTTGTGACCCCATGCACTATACAGTCCATGGAATTCTCCAGGCCAGAATACTGGAGTGGGTAGCCTTTCCCTTCTCCAGCGGAATCTTCCCAACCCAGGGATCAAACCCAGGTCTCCTGCATTGCAGGTGGATTCTTTACCAGCTGAGCCCCAAGGGAAGCCCAAGAATACTGGAGTGGTAGCCTTCTCCAGCAGATCTTCCCAACCCAGGAATCTAACCAGGGTCTCCTGCATTGCAGTTGGATTCTTTACCAACTGAGCTATGAGGGTAGCCCATACTATATAGCATAGTTCCCTCTGCTATATGGTAAACCTTTGTTGCTTATTGCATATCTGTTTTTTAAATTAGAAATCTAGCATTCCATCCATACTAAGTCAAAGAAGTGGAATCAAAATGTTAGAAATTTTTTAGTTAGGCAAAAATTTGTAAGTTCTTAAAAATATGTATTTTATACATATTTTATATATATATATATATATATATATATATATACAAAAGCTTTTCTACTATGCTTAATAAAGGCTTGAGAAAAAACATCAAGGAAAAAAATAGACATGAAAAAGTGAAAAGCATAAACTAAATGAAATGGGAGCACTGAATATGAAATAGAAAAAGTGAAACAAACTAGATAAAAGTAAAATATCATCATATAGTCCAGTTGGTTTTAAACATGACTGCTCATTAGAAACATATCTGGAGATCTGGATAAAAAAAGCAATGCAGTACCTGGGCATTTGTAATTTTCAAAAGATTTTAAGATAATTCTGATATGCATCTGGATTTTAAAAAGTGATTTCAGGTTTTTCTACTGAATCCTAATTTTGGTGATATAGAGTTCTATTAGTTTTCTGTTGACCAATCATGATACAATGGTATTAAGTGAGTAATGGTTACATAGTCACAATAATAAAAGATAATTATCAGTTTTCACAATCAATATGCAGACAAAAAATAAAAGATAATTACAACTGCAAGTCATAATGAGAACATGAATAACTTAACAATATAAAAAATTTTTTTTCAAACTGGGGGGGAGGTCAAGCAGAGTGAGTGATAATTAGAAGTGCATACATGCACGTGTTTTCATCTGCCCAACCACCAGTCTATGTCTTTTGGTTGGTAATTATTGATATGTGTGATCCTATTACCATTTTATTAATTGTTTGGGTTTTTTTTTTTTTTTTCTTTTGTTTCCTGCCTAGAGAAGTTCCTTTAGCATTCATTATAAAGCTGGTTTCATGGTACTGAATTCTCTTAAATTTGCTTGTCTGGAAAGCTTTTGATTTCTCCATCAAATCTGAATGAGAGTCTTGCTAGGTAGAGTATTCTGGTCTGTAGGCTCTTCCCTTTCATCACTTTAAATATATCATGCCATTCCCTTCTAGTTTGTAGGGTTTTCACTGAGAAATCAGCTGATAGCATGATGGGAGTTCCTTTGTATGTTATTTGTTGTTTTTCCCTTGCTGATTTTAATATTTTATCTGTGTCTTTAATGCATTTTTGTCAGCTTGTTTACTGTATGTCTCAGTGTGTTCCTCCTTGGATTTATTCTACCTGGGATTCTCTGTGCTTCCTGGACTTGGTTAACTATTTCCTTTCCCATATTAGAGAAATTTTCAGCTATTATCTCTTCAAATATTTTCTCAGATCCTGTCTCTCTCTCTTTTTCTGGGACCCTTATAATGCAAATCTTGGTCTGTTTAATGTTGTCCCAGAGTCTCTTAGGCTGCCTTCATTTCTTCTCATTCTTTTTTCTATATTCTGTTCTGTTGCAATGATTTTTACCATTCTGTCCTCCAGGTCGTTTATCTGTTCTTCTGCCTATTTTTCTGCTGTTAATTCCTTCTAGTATTTTATTCATCTCTGTTTGTTTGTTCTTTAGTTCTTGTAGGTCTTTGGTAAATATTTCTTGCATCTTCACCATTGTTTTCCTGAGATCTTGGATCACCTTCACTATCATTATTCTGAATTCTTTTTCTGAAAGTTTGCCTATCCCAACTTAATTTAGTTGGTTTTCTGTGGCTTTTATCTTGTCCCCTCATTTGGGATGTAACTTTCTGCTTTTTTCATCCTGATTAACTTTCTGTAAGGTAGTTTTTGTTTAGCTGCTGTGGGACTGCTGCTTCTTGCTTCTTCTGTCTGCCCTGTGATGGATGAGGCTAAGAGGCTTGTATAAGCTTCCTGATGGGAGGGACTGGCAGTGGGAAAAACTGGGTCTTGCTCTGGTGGACAGGGCCTTGCTCAGTAAAGCTTTAGTCTAATTATCTGCTGATGGGAGGGGTTGGCCCCCCTCCCTGATAGTTGTTTGGCTCTAAGTGATCTAGCCCTGGGGTCTATGGTCTCTCTGATAGGGTTAAACCCCAAGAGAGCTTACACCAAGGGAGACCTTCCTAGCCTGCTGCCGCCAGTGCCCTCGTCCTTGTAGTGAGTCCCTGCTGACCCAGGCCTCCAGAGAAGGCCCTCCAACTCTAGCAAGTAGTTTTGGTTCAGTCTCCTGTGGGGTCACTATTCCTTTCCTCTGGGTCTTGGTGTGCACAAGACTTTGTTTTTGCCCTCTATTACTGGAATCTTTGTTTCCTCAGTCCTGAAGAAGTCCTATAATCAAATTCTACTGGCCTTCAAGGCCAGATTCCCTGAGGATTCCCAGTCCCTTTGTCAGATCCCCAGGCTGGGAAGCCTGATGTAGTATTCAGAACCTTCTTAACAGTTGGAGAGCTTCCTTGGTATTATTATTTTCCAGCTTCTGGGTCACCAACCTGGCAGGTATGGGATTTGATTTTATCATGATTGAGTCCCCCTCCTACTGTCTTACTGTGGCTTCTTCTTTGTCTTTGGATGTGGGGTACCTTTTTTTGGTGAGTTCCAGCATCCTCCTCTCGATGGTTGTTTAACAGCTAGTTTCAATTTTGGTGCCCTCATAGGAGGAAATGAGCACATACCTTTCTACTCTGCCATTTTGAACCAGAAGCATATAGTCATTTTTAAATTGCTGATTATAAAATATCACTTATTCTAAAAAGCAAATCAAATTTTTGAATGATGTTCCTTTTTCTTGCTCTTCACAATACCTTTTAGATACCAGATTGATAACTTCTTGATTATATTGGGTGGAATGGGAGCTCATGAAATTTAACTGTTTAAATGATAAATAAGATGAAAGATTATAAGAAAAGTATCCAATCAACATGGATATATTGCTTTTTTATGTGTGTGTATATATATATTTGTTTTAATTCATCCATGGGCATTAGACTATATTACAGTCCTCGTGTTTATTTCTGTCTTAATTTGGTATACCTATTTTCTCTCTCTGTGAATAGAGAAAAATTAGGTTCATTTATATCTCTCATTACGTTCTTTTATAATTTCTATAACATTTCAGACTACTGAATTAAACAACCCAGCTAGCTCTTAGAATAACTAGTTTGTAGCTAGTTAACTTCAACTTACAAACATTACATTTTAATTAAAATAAATTTCATCAGATATTAATATTAAATAATTTAATCTATTCTAATTTAAATTAAATTTTTTCAGTTTCTTATTCCCACATGATAATGTTCCTTCATATCTGTGTATTGTGTGGTGACAAAACCTCAACAAAATTTTGGGAAGTGAGTGCTCATTTCAAGGAGATCGATTATCTTTGGAACTGGACTGTTTTATGATGCCTTTAGCTTCAGAGCCAAATTTGATATTCTCAATCCTGATATATTTATCTTTTATTTCTTTTCCTAGGTTATCATGTATTTAAAAGTTTTTAAAAATCACTTTTATATGCTCCCAGATGGAATAATTTTTAAATATTGTAATTCCTAATTTTATTTTTTATCGTAGGTAGAAGAAGGAATGCATCTTTTGATAACTGGTCCCAATGGTTGTGGGAAAAGTTCTCTCTTCAGAATTTTAAGTGGGCTCTGGCCTGTATATGAAGGAGTCCTATATAAACCACCTCCGCAACATATGTTCTATATTCCACAAAGGTGGGTAAAGGTTTTATATCACAAGGAAAATTTTTCTTTCGCTTTTGAATTATTTTGATTCCTTAAGCTCTTCTGCAAGTAATCTTTTAAGCATTTTTTTTGAGAGAAACTATTAAGGAAATAAATATTATCCTAAAAAGTTTTACTATTGCTTTGACTACAATAGTTTCCAGTAAAATACCAATTCTTTTCATTTTCACATCTCATTGTAATGAACACTCAAAAGACTATAGATATTAGCCTCAAGAAATAGTAGGCTAGGCCAAAGAATAATTATATTGCTTTAGATATAATCTCTATTATCTTTTCTCACAAAAATGAATAGTACTTGAATAGTATGCTAGTCTTTCATAAAGATGCATATATATGTATGTTCTGAAATTGTTCACTTATGTTTTAAGAGCCTCTGTATAGTAATTTATCGCAGTTCTATGTAATTAATTAATGATTTAGAACCACCTTAATTAAAAATATTTTACTTTAAGAATGAATGTAAAAGTAAGCATAGAAATATTTAAAAGTAACATTGTTTCATCTGAAGTTTTTAGCTATCTTCATTCATAACAATATGCAGATGTCTAAACAGAAATTTATACTTGAAAATTTGGAATATTCATTGTGGATGAGACAGTTAAATTTAAAGGAGAAACAGGTCTCATGCTCATCTAGCCCAGTAATTTTTCCCACCTGTCATCTCCCTGAGTTAGGTTGACATCACAAAAGTACTTCTACCATGCTAGAGGACTATTCTGTGGGACCTAATCAAGTACCTATGCTGGAATTATAGTAACAAGAGCAAATATAAAAGTTCCATTAAATATGTGCTATCACGTCTCTTTCGTTCCTTTTCCTTTGTCAGAAAGTGTTTGTACCATCCTGCCCACTGGACTAATTTTTAGACCTTATATTACAGCTATACAGATGAGTTTCTGTGGGACTTTTTTCCTAAAGTAAAACCTATCATAGTAGTATTAAGCTATCTGAAGTGTAGAATGATGAACTATATTAGCAATAAGAAAATATTGGCTGTGAGCAGTGCTGTGAATACTTGTGTTTTAACACAAAATAGATAACATCTGTGACACCAGAATTATAGACTCTTTCTGTCTGTGCTTTGGATTTCTTTTGGGAAATCTTCTGGATCTGAAAAGTAAATAGTTGTGCCAAAGTTTAAGTTTCAGGTATTAATACATTAAGTAGACTGATTTTGATTTTCTATTTATGTTATGAAGCATAAAATCGTGAGGAAAATATTGTTATAGCATAGAATCAACTCCTTTAATGCAAATAGAATTATATACATAAATTTAATATTTTGAGCTATTTTAGATTTCATTTATAATGTAAAAACAGTTCTTGAATATAGCTATAACCTGAGCAATAAAAGACATTTTCAAGACTAAGAAAGTGCCTAACTAGCAAAGTCATCCTTCAGAAATGAAGGAAAAAGACTTTCCCAAACAAACAAAAGAGGAGGGGATTCATCTCCATTAGATCTGCCTTATAGGAAATGATAAAAGGAGTTTTTCAAATTGAAATAAAATTATACTAATTAGCATGAAAACACATTAAAATATACAATATTAGTAAATGTAAATATATACTCAAATTCATAATACTCTAATACTGTGTTATGGTGGTGTGTTAACTATCTAACCTTAATATGAATATTAAAGGATAAGAGTATTAAAATAACCATAGCTGGTATAATTTATTAATGAACACACAATATAAAAAGAGGCATATTGTGACATTATAAACATAAAAAGGGGAGAGTAAAAGGGTAGAGCTTTCATATGCAATTAAAGTAGTTAATATCATAAAACGTGTAAGATGTTCTATATGTGCCTCATAGGAACCACAGGGTTTCCCCAGTGGCTCAGCAGGTAAAGAATCACTCTGCAGTGTAGGGGACACAGGAGACTGAGCTCAGCCCCTGGGTCTAGAAGATCCTCTGCAGGAAGAAATGGCAACCCACTCCAATATTCTTACCTGGAGAATCCCATGGACAGAGGAGCCTGGCAGAGTGCAATCCATGGGGTTGCAGAGTCGGACACGAATGAGCATGCACAAATGCATAGGAACCACAAAGAACAGCATCGAAACATGTATGTTATCTAGGGTGAAACAGATCACCAGCCCAGGCTGGATGCAGGAGACAAGTGCTCGGGCCTGGTGCACTGGGAAGACCCAGAGGGATCGGGCGGAGAGGGAGGTGGGAGAGGGGATCAGGATGGGGAATACATATAAATCCATGGCTGATTCATGTCAGTGTATGACAAAAACCACTACAATATTGTAAAGTAATTAGCCTCCAACTAATACAAATAAATGGAAAATAAAAAAGCATTAGGGGAAAAAAAAAAACCTAAAGGAGATTCACAATAGGTAAAGAGAAGGGAATTATAGCGTACCACTATAGAAATCACCAATTCACAAGGAAAGGCTACATGAGAGGAAGAAAGGAACAAGGGATAAAGCAACCAGAAAGTAATAACATGGCATTAGTAAGTCCTTATCTGTCAATGATTAGTTTAAATGTAAATATACTGACTTATCCAACCAAAACACATAAATGGCTAGAAGATATACTTTACACTGGTTACAAGACAACCACTTCAGCTTTAAAGACACAGTTAGACTGAAAATGAAGGGATGGAAAAAAGGTATTCCATCTAAATGGAAACCAGAAGAGAACAAGGGTGGCTACACTTATATTAGAAAAATTAGATTTTAAGCCAAAAATGCTAAAAAGAGACAAAGAAGGTCATTATATAATGACAGTGGGGTCAATTCATCAAGAAGATATAACAGTTGTAATATATATGCACTCTATATCAGAACACCTTAATATATTAAGCAAATACTAACAGATCTGAAGAGAGATAGACAATACATTAATAGTTCAGAACATCAGTACCCCACTTTTGACAGTGGGTAAATCATCCAGACAGAAAATCAACAGGGAAATATTGGACTTGAACCATATTTTAGACCAAATGGATTTAGCAGACAGATATAGACATTCTATTCAACAGCAGAATACACTTCTCAATCATGTGCGGAACATTCTCTTGCATATTTTATGACATGATACAAAATAAATCTTAGTCAATTTGAGAAGACTGAAGTCATACCAAATAATTTTCCCATCATAATGGTATGAAACAAAACCTAAAAAAGGAGGAGGATTGAAATTTTTACAAATATGTGGAAATTAGCACACTCCTGAGCAACCAGTGAGTCAAAGAAGGAATCAAAAAAGAAATTAAGAAATATATTGAAAAAAATGAAAATGGAAATACAATATATGAAAGTCTATGGAATGTGGCAATAGCAGTTCTCAGAAGGATGCTTATAGAAATAAATGCCTAAATTAAGAAAAAAAGAGATCTCAAGTAAACCTAACAACATTTCAAGGATCTAGAAAAAGGGTAACAAATAAAGTCCAAAGTTTGAAAGAAGAAGGAAATAACAAAAAGGGAAGAAATAAATGAAATAGAGACCAAAAAACAAAAAGGAAAATATCAATTTTAAAAAATCAATCAATAAATGAAATAGAGACCAGAAAGATCTGATCAGAAAGTTAGAAAAGATCAATTGAAACTAAGAAATAATTATTTGTAAAAATAATATTGATGAAACTTTAGCTGGACTAACAAAGAGGCAAAAGAATAAATAAAATCAGAAAGAAAAGATGAGAGTATTACCACAGAAATACATAGGATCATTAGACTACTATGAACAATAATATGCCACAAACTAGAAACATAAAAGAAATGGATAAATGCTTACAAACATAAAATTTACCAAAACTGAATCATGAAGAATTAAAAAAATATCAGTAACAAGTACGGAAATTGAATCAGTAATCTACAATCTCCTCAAAACAAAAACCAGTTGGTTTCTAATGGTTGTTGTTGTTCAGTTGTTAAGTTGTGTCCGACTCTTTGTGACCCCATGGACTGTAGCATGCCAGGCTTCCCTGCCCTTCACTATCTCCCAGAGTTGGCCGAAACTCATGTCCATTGAGTCAGTGGTACCATCCAACCATCTCATCCTCTGTCATCACCTTCTCCTCTTGCCCTCAATCTTTCCCAGCGTGAGTGTCTCTTCCAGCGAGTCAGCTCTTGGCATCAGGTGGCCAAAGTGTAGGAGCTTCAGCTTCAGCATCAGTTCTTCCAATAAATATTCAGGGTTGATTTCCTTTAGGATTGACTGGTTTGATCTCCTTGCAGTCCAAGGGACTCTCAAGAGTCTTCTCCAGCACCACAGATAGAAAGCCTCAATACTTCTGCACTCAGCATTCTTTATGTCCCAACTCTCACATTGGTACACGACTACTGGAGAAACCCTGGTTTTGACTATATGGATGTTTGTCAGCAAAATGATACCTCTGCTTTTTAATATGCTGTCTAGATTTGTAATAGCTTTTCTTCCAAGGAGCAAGCATCTTTTAATTTCATGGCTGCAGTCACCATCAGCAGTGATTTTGGAACCCAAGAAAATGAAATCTGCCACTGTTTCTATTTTTTTCTCCATTTATTTGCCATGAAGTATGGGGATAGGACTTCCTTGGTGGCTCAGATGGTAAAAGCGTCTGCCTACAATGCGGGAGACCTAGGTTCAATCCCTGGGTTGGGGAGATCTCCTAGAGAAGCGGATGGCAACCCACTCTAGTATTCTTGCCTGGAAAATCCCATGGATGGAGGAGCCTGGTAGGCTACAGTCCATGGGGTTTCAAGAGTTGGACACTACTGAGCGACTTCACTTTCGCTTTTCGCTTTCATGGGGATAGATGCCATATTCTTAGTTTTTTTAATGTTGAGTTTTAAGTCAGGTTTTTCACTCTCCTCTTTCACCTCTATCCAGAGCCTCTGGGTCCTCTTCACTTTCTCCCATTAGGGAGGTATCATTTGCATATCTGAGGTTGTTATTTCTCCCAGCCATCTTGATTCCAGCTTGTGATTCATCTATCCTGGCATTTTGCATGATATATT